TATATTTATATAATATAAGTTATATAATTAATATATAATATTATTTTTATATATTAATATTAGGGATATAAAATTGGCTCGTCGTTCGCGAACAGCTCGTATTCGTTTCGTGTTCGCCTCGTTCGTTAAGAAACGAACACGAGCTTATTTCAAACAAACTAAATTTTAAACGAACCGAACACGAACACAAGCTTTGTTCGTTCGTGTTCGGTTCGTTTACACCTCTATTTGCAAGGCTTACTTTAAACATTCACAAATAAATTTAAATCCACCACAAATTGCCGCAAATTCATGCTTAAGAATTTAACTTTTTTGTTCGTCACTTAAGAACTCTATCCCTTTATCACATCTTTAACTTTTTAAATTCTTTTTACAAGTTATTTTCATTTCTAAAATCATATATCTTATGCTCATAGTTTGATTTCAACCCTTTACAACTTGCACAACAGCTCTGAAACTCTGAAACAAACTTCACTCCCAAAACATTCCAAAATAGTAGGAATCCCAGCCAATTACACAAAAAATCATGAGCAGAAATCACATGTACATATTGCTATATCAATAATAATATATAATTCAAGCTGCAAGCAGAACATTCATTTTTTACCAATTTTTAAATTATTTGAACATAGTTCCTAGCATTGTTCTTCACGGATATAATACAACACCATGAACTTGGCGAAAAGAATGTTTTTTTTATTATTATTTTTTTTATTTTACTTCAAAGACAGAATATTCAAACATTCAGATTTGTTCCTGCTGTTTGTCTTTGCTGAAGAAGAGTTTATAGAGAGAATTCAAGACCACCAGGGATCTTCACCAGTTCTGAAATCAGTTTCTAGCCAGGGCACAAATAAAACCTTCCCATCGTCTATATCCGCATGAGCCAATGCCAATGACTTCATCAGCCAAAAATCCAATATAAGAAAATTAAAAACTGTTTTCCACTAAATAACAGTTCAGAAGAAATGAAAGAAAAATAGAACCCATAATAACAAGGTGAAAGGATAAAAATGAATCAAATTAAGCATAGAAGAATCGGGAGAGAATATAATTCCTCATTAAAGTGCTCATGTAGCAATAAATGTCAATTGCAAAATTGAAAGATAGCAAATATTCTTGCCTCGTAAAATTCAATTGTCAAGCAATAGCAACAAATAGGGCATGCAAGAAGAATTTAAGCATAAATAAAAAACTAAAAAACAAAAAAGGAAAGTGTGGGAGCTTACCAAAGGAGCAGGTCCTCTAACAACTTTGCCTTGGTAGTTATACTGGGATCCGTGGCAGGGACAGATGAATTTGTTCTCAGCCGAATTCCATGGGACAACACAACCAAGGTGGGTGCACACAGCATTTATGCCATATGTTGCAAGAGATCTATCTGCCTCAACAACTAGATAAGTAGGATCTCCCTGTTTTAAGAATATATGCATTTAATTAAATAAATCTATAGTTTTAAAAAAAAGGAAGGATTGCATACATACCATTACATTCTTATGTATCTACATATCTGAAGCGTAAAATTTAATTTTTATGTATATGCCACTTTACATATGCATGAAAAAATGTATTTAACTTCTGGAAAGTTAAAATAGTGATATTTTTTATGTGATATGAAAGATTTGGGTGGTGCAAATATTAAATGGAAAGTTTAGGTGTTAGATATGTAAATAAATAGGAACAAATATTAAAAGGAAAGTTTAGGTGTTAGATATGAAAATAAATAGGAATTTGGTGGTATGTTTGTAAATGTCACAAAAAAAAGTTACCAAAGTAATATGCACGTGACAATTGATATGGTATTATATTTTGCTGTACTAGAGCAATATATAAAGTAAAGTGCCTGATTTCTGATACAAGTAAAGGATACTTCAATTCAATATAAACTAATTGTGAGAAAGTTTAAGTAGATTCACTACCCAAAAAAAAAAAAAACAATTTTGAAATAGAGGAATTGGCTGGCCAAGTTATGGTGTATCCACTCACATCTCCTAAAATAACTTAATTTAGAAGGCAGTAACATTTATTTGCATTACAAAAAAATGTATATCAATGGATATAAAAGGGAGAAAACAAGTAAATATAATAAGATTTGCATAAATACAAGTTAACTGCACGTTTGCAATGATTCATGAATGGGCTTGAATCGGGAGTTTAGTGTTACTCAAACAGCTTTGTTACCTTCATTTATTTTTGAAGCATAGTAGTGTATTTGTTGAGAATTGGACCTAATTTAGTAGTAAAAAAAAGAATATTAAGTATGGGGATTTATTTTTAAAACATTGTAATACCCTACTTAAACTCATGTTATGAGCGTAAAAAGTCAGTTTTGAGCAATTTTTTCTTCTTTATATCAAAGCCAAATTCTAGCCAAGTTTTGAAAATCCTCGTGCGCTGTGATTCCATCGTTGCTCGAGAAGAGAGGATAGAGAAGAATGAGCGGAGGGCGAGAAAGTCGTGTCCTTCTACGTTGTGATCTCGTCGCTGCTTCCCTCGCAAGTTGTGATCACGGATGACAAGAAAGTCACGGTCCTTCTGCGCTGCGATCCCATCACTACTTCTCTTGCTAGTTGTGATCCTGCTGCTTCGTGGGTTGCCGCTGACCAATGGGAGCAGGGAGGTGGGAGCAGCTTCATAAAAAGGGAGTCCCGGAGTTTTGCATTTGTGCGTTCCTGTGCAGGGATCCCGTCGGTGCTCTTCCCAAGCATAGAAGGAGCGTAAGAAGGAAGTTCCAGGGATCGCATTCATTGCAGTGATTCTGTAGTTACTCTTCTAGAGTGCAAAAGGAGCTCCTGCTATTTAGGAAGAGAGGAAACCGGTGATCACGTCATTGCTTTCCAGCGAGCCTCAATCGCGACAACTAGGAACTTGAAGGTATTCGTACACAAAAATCTTGATGATGAGATAAGAAAAGATCAAGTCGGGAAGAGGAAGGAAGTTACGTGTGATCTAGACTTAAATGCTTGCAATTAAGGATGTCAGGAGACAAATATAGTACCAGAGGTAAAGGATTGGAGCTTCTGGGGAAGAAAAATCCCAAAGTTTTGAAGGTCTTGGTCGGGCTCATGCAAGGAGCTAGTATCTCGACGGGAGTCACTACCTCAGCACGTGCTCCAACACAGATGGATTTAGATCTCCCTCTTGTGAATTCGAAGCTTGATGGACTGACCACGTATCTGTGTTGGTTGCATGGGATCGAGGATGCTCTAGTGAGGAAGAGACTAGAGGGATATCTGATGGGAGTCAAGGTTGAGCTAGACGGTGACAGTGGTGAGGAGGATGAGTGGAGGACCACACATCCCTTACTTCACACCTGGATTCTATATTCGATGGTTTCATCGATTGCATTGTTAGTAGATGACATTCGAAAGGTGAGGAAAATCTGGGCAAATTCGAAGAAAATTTATATTGGGATAGAGACCCACATTAGGTTGTTCCAGATTTAGCGAGAGATAAAAGCAGCGGTGCGAGTTATAGATCGATTCAGGAATACACCATTGATTTGGAGTGACTGTGGGTAGATCTTGATCACTTCTCTCCGATGTCGAGTTGCGGCGATCTAGAGTGTAATGAAAGGGAGATCTTTACACAGATAAGGACTATGCAATTTCTAGCCCATCTGAACTTGGCCTTTGATTAGAGGACAACGGTCTTAGCATAGGCGACTATTGCTTCATTGGATGAGGACATTGCTACATTGATAGAGAAGGAGAATCGTATGAAGCTACACTCAAAGTTCAGTGGAGGACTTCCGAGTACACGATTAGCGTTGGCTGCCTAGAGCTCAGGTATGATAGGTGCTCAAGGGGAGACGCGCAAATGCTATAACTGTGGTGAAGTCGAGCATCTGAGCAAGACCTTTCCTAGGCCACTTAAACAAAGATAGATAGGTGGAATTCGATAGGGTGGAGGTTGTGGTCGTGGATGTGGTGGTCAAAAATGTGGGAAAGGGCGCTACCAGGCAAATATGATGGTAGCAGAGGAGGGAAAGACATGATTTTTACCAATGAGGATTATGAGTGGCTGATGTTCTTGAAGAATAAGCAGAAACTAGCAGGAGATGGGGCTGAGGATACTTTCAACCAATCATCATCAAAGGGCAATATTGTCACTTATGCTCGCTCTGACAAAGGTATTTGTGATAGATATACTCTTGCTTCTATTTTCACCATAGGATCATCATAAATTCAGTGCATCTTGACATGTGAGAGATACTGCAAAAGAATTTTCTTCCTATACTCCTCTAATAGTACTAGAGAGCATATTGATTGTTGATGGTATATCACAACTTATAGTTGATAAGGGTACAATGAGGGGTATCAATTATATGACTTTGTCCAATATTTTGCTTGCTCCTTCTTTTCCAGTGAATCTTATATCCATTAGTGTCGTTATTATCCAACTAAAATGTATTGTTTCTTTTGATATTCCTAATATGATCTTCTAAGAGAAAGGGATGAGCTGGACGCTTGAAATAGAAACATGGCATAGTGGACTTTGGTACTTATACTCAGAGGGGATAGACTCAACTTTGACATCCATGGTAGAGTGATGGAGTAGGTGAAGCTGAGCGAACTGTGGAGGATGTGTAGTTGCTACATTGCAAACGCATGAGACACTCTTATTCTAGTTTATTGAACCGGTTGTATTGTTTTTTGTATGAAAGACCAAGGGTACCAATTATATGACTTTGTCCAATATTTTGCATGCTCCTTCTTTTCCAGTGAATCTTATATCAATTAGTGTCGTTATTCTCCAACTAAAATGTATTGTTTCTTTTGATATTCCTAAAATGATCTTCCAAGAGAAAGGGATGAGCTGGACACTTGAAACAGAAACATGGCATAGTGAACTTTGGTACTTATACTCGGAGGGGATAGACTCAACTTTGACATCCATGGTAGAGTGATGGAGTAGGTGAAGCTGAGCGGACTGTGGAGGATGTGTAGTTGCTACATTGCAGACGCATGGAACACTCTTATTTTAGTTTATTGAACCGGTTGTATCGTTCTCTGTATGAAAGACCAATAAACAAAAGCATGTTTGTGATGCTTATTAGTTTGACAAGCTTACTAAGAGCTCTTATATCAATCCTGGGGATAGGAGTTCTAGTATTTTTGACTTGAGGGATCTCATTCTATAAGTTCTATGAATAATTATCGATATTTTTTTATATTTATTGATTAGTGCTACTTGGCTATATTTGATGAAAAAATAAATGTGATGTGCTTGCTTACTTTAAATACTTTAACAAGGCAATCCAAACTCAATATGGTGCAGTAATGAAGGTATTGAGGTCTGGTAATAGGACAAAGTATACCAAAAAGAATTTGGGAAAACTTGTCAGCCCAAGGGACAAAGCTACAAATTAAATATTCATACACACCAACACAAAATGGAGTAGCAAATAGGAAGAATAAAGACCTTCTAGAGGTTGCCCGAAGATTGATGCTTGCAATGAAAGTCCCAAAGTACTTATGGGGCAAGCATTTTTTACAGTTGCTCAATTGATCAACACAATACTATCGAGGGTGTTGGATTAGAAGTCTCCTCGTCAGATGTTGAAAGAGAATAATAATAAAATCCTTCAATTGAAGGTGTTTGGATGTATATATTTTGTGAAAAATAACAGACCAACAAGAGGGAATATGGATTCCAGAGCTGTGAAATATGAGTTCGTAAGTTATTCTGCTACCCAGAAGGATATGTTCGCAGAAACTTGATAGTGCAGAGACTATTTGTGAGCATGAATGCATCATTTATAAATTTGAACCTTACTACACCGAGGAGGTGACCAAACCCTTTAATGACTCGCCAAATACTGGAGATACGAGGCAAAGGGAGGTGAGTAGCAATGATGAGAGAGTGGTACAAATGAGAGCAATGACTTATTCTGTGATGTGGGATGAATCAATTGAGAAACCAAAAAATGATTAGTGAACCCAAATGTGGTAAGATTCAGGCTAAAGGTCAACTAAGGGTGTATACATGGAGAATGAGGCAAAATAAGAGAGCAGTGTCTGTAGTACCACTTGTGTCAACTAGTCCCTTGTCTCGGCCTTCTCCGACTCTTGACTCTGACTCATAACTCCCAAGTGATATGATTCCTCCTTCTCCTAACCCTCCAACTATAAGAAGAACCTTTTGCAGTAATGCAGGATATTCTCCCAATTGTTTTGGATGGGAATATGACATTGTTAATTTTATTTTCTATTCTAACATATCACTTTTACATAGAACATTCATTGCACCTCAGGACACTTTCTCTATCCCAAGTGTTAGCAGATTGCTAAAAAGGATCCCAAGAAAAAAAGAGACTATGCATTAAGAGCTTAGGACTCTCGATAAAAATCAAACATGGGAGAAGACATTGACATTACCAGCGAGGAAAAAGGCAATAAGGTGCAAGTGGATCTTGGCAATAAAGCAATTTCTAGAAGAAATGGTGAAGCGGTACAAAACACGATTAGTGGAGAAAGACTATAGGCAGTCTTATGACAATGACTATGATGAAACCTTTGCACCAGTAGCTGATTTCTCTGGCACTAAATGGTGGGTGGAAGTTACACCAACTTAATGTGACAAATACATTTCTTTATGATAAGTTATTGAAAGAGGAATATATGTTGATAGCAATAGGATTTGGTACAGTCCAGACAGTGGGAAAAGTGTGTAGACTCAGGAAGTCACTGTATGGCTTGAAGCAGTCTCCTCGAGCCTGGTTTGACAAGTTTAGAAAGGTTATAGTGGGCACGGGATATCAGCAGATCAATGTAGACCAAGCGACATTCGTTCGATAACATGAAGGTCACACCACTATAGTAATTATATGTTAATGACATCAATATCACTGGTGATGATGAGTAGAGAATGATTAACTAAAAATAAGATTGGGCAATTGGACAACTCATATTATTTTCTTGGGATTGAAGTGGCCCGGTGACCTGAGGGGATGATCTTGTCCCAGAGAAAGTATAAACTAGATCTCTTCACGGAAATATGCATATTAGCGTGCAAACTTGCAGTCTCTCCAATTGACCAAAAGACAAAGTTGAGTAAAGAGACAGGAGAACTGGTTGATCGTGACAGGTACCAGAAATTGGTGGGTCGTCTAATCTATCTGTCACACTCAACCCGATATGTTTTTTGCAGTAAACAGACGAGCCGCTACATGCATGATCCAAGAAAAAAAAACATATAGATGCAGTCTATCAAATTTTGAGATACCTGAAGAGTGTACCAGGGAAGGGTTTGATTTTCAAGAAGAATGGGCATATAAACATTGAAGGCTTTTGTGACGCTGACTAGGCGAGTTGTGCAAACGACAAAAAATCCAGTTCAAGATATTGCATGTTAGTAGGGGGCAAGGCCATGAGGATATTTTGAAAGAGCAAGAAACAGTCTACAGTAGCGAGGTCAAGATCAGAGGTAGATTGCAAGGCCATGGCCTTAGGAGTTGCCGAGATGAAGTGGTTGAGAGCCATGTTGATAAAGCTCAAGAGGGACCAAAGAACTTAATGAAGTCAATAATCAACATTGTCACTAACCCGATGCAACATGATAGAACCAAACATGTTAAGATTGATAGATTCATCAAGGAAAAGATGAATAAAAAGCAACTGGAACAAAGTCATTTAGCCACTGGAGAGCAAGTGGCTGACTGCCTCAACAAAGGACTTAGTTCATTAGATTTGTCTAAATTATGTGACAAGATAGGCTTGGTGTATATCTTTTAACCATCTTGAGGGGGACTTTTGGAATTAGACCTAATTTAATATCCTATTGGTAAAAAAGAGAATATTGGAAAAGTTTGGGGTTTATTTGTAAAACATTATAATACCCTATTTAAGCTCACATTATGAATGTATAGAGTAGGTTTTGAGAAATTCTTTCTTCAGTATTAGAATAGATTATAACTAATTTCTTATCATAGAATGAGGCACTATCACACCATAGCCTTATCCCACCTATCTACACTTTATGATTCTAATTTTTAATTTGTGCCTACGAAGTCACACCAGAAACTCAAATTGACAAATATATGGAGATCAGAGAATATTGGTAATGTCTACCTTTAATCCCTGAGTGAGAGTTCTATCACCAGGTCCATGAGTTTGGAGCCATTGATCTACCAAAACATCGTTTCCAAGAGCATCTTTAGCATAAGTTCCACTGCCACCACCCGACCCACTGCATTTATTTTTAATGACAATGTTAGCAAAAAAAAAATATCAAAATAACCTCATACAAAAATTATTATTAGAGTTCAAAATTAGAAGACATTTGGTATAAATTACTCACCATATAAAATTTGTCTTATGAAAATAAGACAAGTTTTTATACCAAATGACTTTATGTTTCGAGCAAATATATTCCTATCCTGACAGATTTGTGTATCAAGATACCCAAATATGATTTTTTCAGCTAAAAACCATAAGACATGTTGGATCAATAAAACGAGGCAGAATGTTGGAGTGACAAAATAAACATTCCAAGGTAAAAAATCTCATTCCAAACAAAGAAATTCTAATAAGTCTTGTTTTGTGCTAACTTGTTTCACATCAAAACAACAAAGAACAAAATAGAAGAAGTTTGAGATCTATTATTGGACAAAAAGCCATATTTTTGCTTTCCTATCTCAATATTTCATTTTTTTAATCTAACCAAAGAGCAACATAAATTTAGGGGAAAATAAAAACATATAAATAATGTTTATCTAACTTGGAATAAAAACTTTGCTCATAATGCACTCCTTCATGGGCAAGAATATTTTACATTTAAGCATGAATTTATACAAAAAGAGAGAAATGTTGGAAAACTTGTGTTGAACCCTACTTTACTACATATTGGCCAAAAAAAAGATAACAAACTCAAACTCAAACTCAAATTGTCTCATTAAGTAATTTTTTAGACCAACTACCAATAGGTTACAAGTTTCAGCTTACAAGTTGAAGCTAAACTTTATCATAAACACCTATATGTTCATGTATGACCAAGTTCATAGACCGGGGTTCAGAACTAGTACAATATGTAAAGGGAGATAGCTTGTCGAGCCAACTAGACAGGTCAGCTAGATAAGTTCAACTAATTAACTCAATGAGGGAGTTATGTCCGATAGCTCGCTTACGCTGATGGACAAGCATATACCCAACCAAATTAAAGCCAAGGAAGCCTCTACAGCCAAGTTAGATCTTGTTGTGATAATTAGGTTTGACAATGTAAGTTGGATGGCTAGTTTTTATTTAACATTTTTCTTTTCCTTTTTTCTCCAATGGCGAGTGTGTCTCTCTTTATTCCATAAACTAGAGAACTGTAACTGCACCTTTAAAAGTGAAGATATTGATATAACTGTCTCTAAAGTCTAAGGCGGTGTTTGGCTACATTTCAGATTTACGTAAAATAGGATTTTTCAAATCCAATAAATCCAGATCAAAATCAAATGACCAAAGGAGCTTGCGCGACGATAGAATAAATTCTTCTCGTGATCGAATTTACTAAATTTGGATTTATGTCTAACAGGTAACCGAAGGCTAGAAAAAAATAACGGAATGCTGGAAAATTCGATTTAACGGAGTTTTCGATTTGTTTTTCATTTTTTAGTGTGTGGTTGGATTTGAGTTAAATCCATGGCTGAATTCTATTATAAGTATGCTACCAAACACCCCCTAATGCATTTCATCTTAAGTAGAGATAATTTACAAAAAAAAAAAAACTATAAATCACCATTTTTTATAGTGCAGGTAAATGAAAAAGCAGAAAAAATAGCACGACTAGCCCTCTTGCTTCAGGTTCAAAGAATGCCTTAAGCCCTCTTCAGTTAGATATGTGTACGTGTCTTTTGGCGTGTTCTTTCATCTGAGAACTGCCAGGTATCTTGATTTCTTATCTAGCGTATCCTTGCGAGCTTCTTCCTCAGTGGTTTGTTCCAACATTTTCTCGAGATGTTTGCGTTCCCTTTTAATCAATCACCATCAAATTACAAACAATAAAAAGAAAGAAGAATCTTCAGGTTTTACCCGGGAGGGACAAAGAAAGCGGCATAGGGAAACAACATCCCTGCCGTTGGCAATGAAATGGTTCCAAGAAGAAGAAGGTTCAAGAGCTTCCTCTTTCCCATGTCTGGAACCCTATCAGCTGAAATGCTTGTGGCCTGACATGCAATCTTCATTCTCCGGTCCTTCTCGGAGCCCAGCCCTTTTGTTGGCTTGTAGAGCAGAGCCTGCGATGGTGCATATATTCCATTTTTGCTGGAGCACAGCTGTTCAATAAACAGTAGAATTTATCAAAGGCGCAGCATTTATGTCCAGAGAATAGGGTTTTTAGAAGAGGAGCAGAGATTGTTGGATTGGCGATTCCGCGAGAGAAAAATTAGGTTATTGGGCAGTTACCTGAGAAGGGCAAGCGGCAGTGGAGAGAGTGGCGGAGGCCATTCCAGTTGGAGGCGAGTGCTTGCTTCTTCTCTCAAATTATCGAGTAGGTTGCTTGATAACTGCGCTGGTAGATTGGGATAGTGGTTTTGGTTGATGGAAAATTAGTGGCCTCTGGCAGCCACACGCTTGGAATGCTTTCCACGTTTTCTTATCCATTTCCTTTTTTCTTTTTCTTAGAATGTAAATTTACATACATATCACATAATTCTTACATATTTACATAACTAACGCCCAAACTGATATTCATATTTATCACACTTTGATGTCATAAAATTATGCATGAAATGAATGTATTTTTCTTTTAAGAAGTTAATAACGATTATATTTTTGGTGTGATGTTATTTTTTAGTATTATAAATGTAAGAGGAATTTACATAAATAATATTAAAAAGAAAAATAGTTACGTATTTCTTACTATTTTTATACCAAAATCCCTTCATACTATCAAATTTATGTTTTTCTTGCCTCTCGTCAAACTTGTTATTTTAGGGTTTGTTCTAGAAATTTAAGAGTTAGTTGTAGTTCGATCTTTCTATGCACCTCCGAGCAAATTATGCTTCAGGTTTTCTTCCATCGTAGCTTTTGATCTCGAGTTTGTCTTCTTATTTTACTTTGAGGCAGCTTGTGAATGTTGCAATTTTTTTTCACTTGGGCTTAATCTTTTGGTTTTATGTTACTTATTTGTTAAAATAGTTGAGCTGTTTTAGTTTAAGCCACTATTATTGTGTTTATTATTTTGCTCCAACAAATATTGATATTTGACTTGGTTTCTTTCACCAGTCATAGTTAGGTTTGTTGCTTATTGTATAGATGACTATATCAGCCGGTTGAATGTTTTAATTAGTGTAGGTAAATCTAAGGTTGATGCATTCACAATTATATTATTATATTGCAGTCTTGGACGAGCACATGCAGAGTATGAATTGCTAAAGTTTGATTTATTAAATATTTTCATCAAGCATATGTACCTTGCTTATCAGGTTTGTGATTGTGTAGCTGACCCAACCCGCGTAGTTACGCAATTATTTAAATTCATAAATATGGACAAAAGTTTGACCCAATTTATATTTAGCGGATAATGCGGGTAGATTTAGTGCATAACTTTTGCAAATATCTTTCATTATTACAAAATACACACGACAGAAATAACAATAAATATGTAATATAATCTCAACAAAAATACCTTTTATGAAAATAGTTTATCCTTAAAACTCATTTTAAACTGTCAAATTCCCTTTAAAATCAACGCAAGTATATGTATCGCTCATGTAATAAATGCCTCTAATGAAGTCCTAGATATCGATCCAGCAAGGAAGTTGGAAAAATGAAAATTATTTTATAATTTAAAAATATGAAACTAAAAGTAAAGTGTGAAGTTTGAATATTAACTACTAAGGTGAATGTTATATAAAATGTAGTTGGAAGACAGAGTTAAATATATAAAAACTAAACTTTCAAAAGTAAAATTACGAAAACTAAACAAAGTTTTTGTTGACGGAAGATTCAAATTTAAGAAAGCATCATTCCCCTTTAAAATAAGTATATATGGATTGTGAAGAAATTTATGGATTGTGAAGAAATTAAAATCATTTTGAAAATATATTAAAGAACTGTTTTGTGTCAAATAGGAGCAATCATATTCTTTACCCTCTTCCATGTGCTATAAAGAATAATGACTAATCCAGAGTTTGGTCTCTAATTTCGTGGTTAGGCTGGGAGGATACTGGCTGCCACTCCAGAGCTCCCACTATTCCCTCCTCTGAGGGCTAACAATCTCGCATTAGTTTCCAATCAAGTGGACTAAATTGGGTATTTTAATCTGTCACCTTAAAATCTCCTATTCTACATCCAACAAAGTATATTTCCCTATTTATATGCACTCAATTCCATGGATGACATACTCTCCCATAAAATCAAATGTGATTCTTCCATATTGTAGAAATCATAGCTCTTTTAAGAACATATGTTTCTCAACATGTTTTAACATTTCAATTGGCTAGAACGAAAAGTAAATGAAAATCAGAGTTCAAATAATCACAAATTATTAACATTTAGAACCATATAAAACAAAAAATAATTCTTCACAATACCATATCTCAAAGCAGGGAGAAGGATAAAGAGGACTACTCATAATTCATGAGAAGGATGCGACAAAATATGGATTTCATAAATAAAAACAAGTTTACAAAAAAAAAGAAGACACAACTTATCGACACAACTTATCTCACAATCTTCCTTGAAGTTCTCTCCAAGCCTTTTCTCTTTACAAGCACACTCAATTCTCTCTTAGAAGTGTAATGAAGAAGAAATCTCTCACCTTCCCTCTCTTCTTACAACCTTAGAAGAAAATTTCCTCTTCTTCTCTCCTTGCCCACTTTCTTGACCTTTTCGTCCCCCCTTCAACTCCTTGAAATCTTCCTCTTTTACTTTGGGTTGCCTCCTTTCAAAAAGAATTCAAAATTCTCTCCAAAATTCCCTCCAAAAGTCAACTCTTTTGAATTCAAAAGACGTGTCATTTGATCCAAGAGACATATCCCTTCATAAAAGAACCTTCCAAAGTGTCTAGATGCATTGAATTACTCTAATAGGTGCGTACAACAAGTGTCCCTTTGAAAATTCAAGCAAAATTCATCTCGAACCACCTTAATCTGCAAAAAGTCATCTCTGGTGCATTGTATTCCATTTCTGGCTCATCATGCGCCAAGCTTCTGTTAAACGGCGCATCATGAGCCAATCTGGCGCATCATGCGCCAGAATTCCAAAATTCGTTATTTTGGCTCCAAATTTCGTCCTTTTTGTCATTTTTTCTCTAAATACCTAAAAATGATATACTTGCAATAAGAACATGAAAATACCATTCTTTAAAGTTCAATATCACCAAAAATAAGCATAAAATATGTACTTAAAATAGTATATTATTTTGGTGTATCAAAATCCC